TCGCGGTCCGATAAACAACAGGATTTCGCATGGAATAGACAACAAACTGAATGAAACATAATGCACAAATTATCACCTTCTTATCAGCAAAAACCGGTCTATGGTTCAATGCCATTAAATTAAGGCTTGGGTCTCAATTTGCCTCAATTTGCTCAATTCAAAAGTGAGGGGGTGATCTATATCTAAGAGATTTAGATGTAGACACATAAAACTTTGCCAGCTGCACACATTTTAAGTTTGCGCCAATTTCGTGCTGCAAAATTATGCAAATTAGGTCACATGACCTCCATCGGCTGAAAAAGCTTGTTCTGGAAACAGCAACACTTTTCCGTGTGTCCTAAATTATTTTACCGGTTGCATAATGTTAAGGCCGTTTAATATATCACTTCTGAGCTTGGTCTTTTTTATACTTTTAAAAGCGAAGGCGTTAAGATGGGATAAAATTGACTTGGGGGACTGGTAAACAAGCTATTAGACAGGGGAAGTTGAGAAAAATTGCAAAATGTTTGCTAACCCGGTTTTCATAACTCTAGGTAGCTTTATTGTTTTAGTTTTTTACAACGTGTGGATATTTTGGTTAGCTTTAATTATTGATTACACGAGAAATACGTGTATCTCAAAACCTTGCGAAGATGAAGTAAAGGCCTAGCAGAAAGAATAAAGGGAGGGGGGGTAAGATGGTAATTCTGTCTACATTCACTTCTACACAAATCCCCAACCACAAAACAAGCGAAAAAAAAAAACAACATAAGCAAATAACACAGTAAACAAGCCATCAGACAGGGGAAGTTGAGAAAAATTACAAAATGTTTACCAACCCGGTTTTCATAACTCCAGGTAGCTTTATTGTTATAGCTTTTTTTAATAACGTGTGGGTATTTTGTTTAGCTTTAATATTGATTACACGAGAAATACGTGTATCTCAAAACCTCACGAAGCCGAAGTAAAGGCCTAGCAGAAAGAATAAAGGGAACAGAGCCAACAGAATAAACATTCAGTTTAAAAAACAAGCAAACAAACAAACCCAAAAACAAAAAGAAAGATAACATAAGACAATAATTGAAACGGTTCGACCCGCCGCCTGAGGATATTTTGTTCAGCTATATTCACTTATTATAATAGGTTCGTAAAGATGCTTTGAAATTAGTGCCTAATTAATCACAAAATAAGTCCACAAGACTCTAAAAAAAAGCAGGTGTCCGTCTGTTTATCAGCACCTTATTTACTGAAGCAAAAGAGTCAATCGATCGCATTTTGAAGGCACTTTTTGACATGGCAGGCTGTTTTTTCTCCTTTCAAATTAGGCTCTTTCTGGCTTTGGCTGCCTTGGGAACGTGGCTGGACTACATCGTAACGGCAAATCAAGGTAGTAAAACCAACTAGTTTCTATAATGAGAGGGTGTCAGTCTAGAGTCTTACGATGAGTTTTCGTTGTCTTAACCGTACCAATACGAATAAGATAAAAAAGGAATGTCGCTTTTTTGGCTTATATATGTTTCAAATTTTAAAAGTTTTCAGGGAGAGAGGCAGATTTTAACTTGTTGTATTTTATCCTTCCCAAGATAGTGTATATCTTGAATGTGTGAGAAATGTTTTTAGACTCTGTTTATTTTAAAATTCTTAATTAGGGTTAGAAGAAAAAATATATTTATTCTACTGAAGAATTTTAGCATCTTTTCCATCGCACATACTCTTTACGTCTATGTATTCGTACACAGTATTTTTAGAACGTTAGAATTTTTCTTTATCTTAAGAGCAAAACAGGCAGACTTTTAATCTTTTAACGTAAGATTCTATCGACTTGCCTTTTGAACGGTTTTTCATCACCTTTTTTTCGAAAGCAGATCAGAAGGCTTTTTCATCAGTCAAACTACACTAAATCTACGTAGCAGAATAACAAACGCTAAAATTCTTACTTAGAATCAGTATCAGTCAAAATTCTTTTGGGTCCAGACTGCACTGAGGCTAACCTTAACTAACAGACTAGCAAACTTTGAAGAAAATCATATCTAGTAAAATTTTAGACGCGTATTTTTATGCATGCTATTCAACTAGGAAAGGGAACTTGAAAAGTGACAAGAAAAATGCAGCTGCTTTGTTGTGCTTACCGACACAATCGATCAGTGGCTGCCCAGGGGGGATAGGGGATGCGTCCCTAGAACCACATCAGTTGGAAGTTAAAAACCGTTTTAAAAAAACTATCTTCCTTAAAATTCGGTGTCGAATTTTAGAGAGGTAGGGTGATTGAGATGCCTTATCGGCTGTTTCTCTTACACTGAACTTTAAATCAATAATTAAACGAGTGTGCAACTACATCAATTTGACGTTGCCGTGCAGACAGCAAAACTTGCCCTTTGAAATGCAACAATTTACTCACTGCATAAAAGCTTATAAACTAAAAGAAAGGCTGAAATTAAGCGAAAACAGTTTGACGGTTGTCATGACCTATTTTATTTAAATTCCTAGTTAGTGATCCTTTAAGAAACTTATTAATTAGTTGTTGTTTCGTTTTGTTATTTACTTCGGTCGGTGGGAGAGCTACTGTAGTCACAGGCGGCCCAAACTCGGTGCATAAATTACCGCGAGTTTCGATGCTGTTTTGCATATTACGAACGATTTAAAAACTTTGTATGAGAAATTCAATATAGTTGTTAAAACGTAGAAATATAGGCATAAATATAGAAAAAAAATGGTTCTTACGTAAACTTTGGCCTGTTATTGCTTTTTCTGTGTAACCTAGGCTCAATTCACGGCCATTTTATACGGTTTTGCGGCTCGATGTTTGTTCGGTGTTGTTTTCCTACATAAAGCGAAGCAAGGTAGGTGACTGTGTGCGGTCTGAGCTCACAAATCTCTACCGCATCAAAGAACGGCGCACCATGGCCAGGCCAGGTCAGTCTTCCTATCTCTTCCCCTCGTCATGGGTATTGAGATGCGTTTTTTGTGGGAAAATGTTTTGAAAGTTTTTAGTTCTGACCAATCTGACGTGCGCTCAGGAACCTCGATGACTACGTGTTGCGTGGTGAAGGCGAACATGGACTCAGGGGATCTGGGTACGCTTGGGTAATCAATATTGCATGACAAAACATGCATCTTCCTACCCTTAGATAGTCTACTGATTGCGCGTGAGCGGTGTTTGGAATTATCCAATTGGATGAGCGAATATGAAATGTTCGCAAAACCGTATAAAATGGCCACGAATTGAGTCCAGATTACACAGAAAAAGCAACAACAGGCCCAAGTTTACGTAAGGTAAGTACCATTTATTTATGCCTATATTTCTACGTTTTAACAACTATATTGAATTTCTCTTACAAAGTCTTTAAATCGTTCGTAATATGCAAAGCAGTATAGAAACTCATGGTAATTTATGCACCGAGCCTGGGCCGCCTGTGCTGTAGCTAGTCTCACGGCCTCGACATGACAGGTTATTATTTCTCGCGCATTGTTTTCTGGAAAAATCAAATTTGTTTTTCAAGAACTCGCTGAGGTAGGCAAAAGTCTGAATATAGAAAAACAATAAACCAAAAGCTTCCAACATATCTTACATCTTTTCTCTCGATCGATAGCTTCTGATCATTTTACAGATACTCCGATCCATTTCCAAAGTTTTTTAACTTTTATCTTGGAATTTTTAGAACTGCTTAACATTCATGGTAACTTGTTCTTGTTTTTGTTGATGCCGGTGTTATGTCTTTGGTCAGCAAGCAGTCTGAAAAGGATCGGTTATTCATTTATAAACAACCACGGTCGAGGAGCGTGGGATAACGAAAGACTGCATTGATGTTCTTTAACGTGTTCTCTGAATTAACGTGGGTGAAATTAGTAGTGGAATAGTGGTTGAGACGTTAACATTGCTATTTTTTTTAATACATCTTTTAGATACCTGTGGCCACATTCGGTATTTGAAGTTTTTTGATCGGGAGTATGGCCTTTATATGTATCTTCAAGGCCACACCTTTTTAAACCTTTCCATTGGAGCAGGCAAATCTTGCGAAACGGAATGTCTTTACCGGAGAGAGTGCGTGGCAATCAACATTGGTCCAGCAATTAATGATATGAGGGTCTGTGAGTTGTGTAACTCAGATCACATACAGCATCCAAATGATTTAAAACGAAGAGAAGGTTGGACGTATAAAGGTACACAGGTAGGCCGAATTTCAATGGAATAAATTAATGACGGCAATGGTTGTGAATTATCTTGTGGTAAGCGTTTAACTGTTCATAGTCCAAAAAGTGAAGTTTTAGCTATGGAAGTGATGATGACAATGACGATCAAAAGATAGTGATGACGACCCTTGGGTGTCAGAGACTTTTCATATGCGGTTTCCTCTTTCGGTTAACTGTTATAGTGACCGCTCGTGTCTTCGGTTCTCTCACGAAGATTGCACTTGTCCGTCTTCCCTCCAGACAAGGGGAACCAACCAAAACGGACTTTTATAAAGTCTACCCAAAGATCTGTCGAGCGGCGATGAAGAAGGTATAAAATAATGATGAAAATGGTAATAGGGGGCACTGACTACTTGCAGTCTCTCAGGATTGTCGCGTGAGCGAGAATGTCAAGTGTGAGCGAGCGAGCGAGCGAGCGAGGCAAACGCGCAAGGGGGAAGACGGAAAAGGAAAAGCCTCTCTCCAGTTCCCTTCTCGAGGGTCTGAATGAAGGTACCTAGATAACACTAAACACTTTATTTTTTGGCTTTGTAACACGAAATAGTTAAAGTTTAGGCATTTAAACACTAACAGTAAAGATTCTTTGAAACAATAATTTTTTCCCAGATAGAGGCAATGAAAATTACAAACCTTTTGCGGGAAGTAGTAAATTATGGGCAAATAACACCAAGCATTAAACTCCATTCAGACCCTCCTTCTCGACTGGTTCGTTCTCTCGAGCTCTGCCAAGTCTCGATTCGACAGACTGAAAAGGGAACTGCTCGAAGTCTACATATACAATATAATATTGAAATTTTATGAAGTCTAAATTACGCTTTCATTTTCACTAGAATATTTGTGCCTACAAACCTTGCTTGAACAATGCAAAGTGTTTCCTTGGATATACGGATAAGGGGTTTCTTTGCGAATGCCAGTCTGGTTACACGGGAGAACTCTGCGAAACAGGTAATTATGTGGCCAGCAAACGCAGACATATTCAGTCCTGCTTTCGCTTGACTGCGCCACAAAGAATACTTTTCGAGCAGAAACAAACTGCAAATACGTCTACGTCTACGTCTCTCATACACGGAATAGGCAGCTAGTAAACTAGAAACTCACCGTGGCCCGTTGCTTCGAGATCCTTCGCGATGGTTAGAAAAACGAAAGTGTATCCTATCCAGAAATAGAGAACAAGTGAATGTTGCTTGATAACAAATAATCAACGTTGTCAGAGTTAGAAAACATTTGTGCCCCTCCCCCCCTGGTGGGGGGTTCCTTAGCAAAGTTTTATCCTGGAAAGCTCCGCCTTGAGGTTAACCTGAGATCAGGCTCTATTTTCGTATCGCTTTGAAAATAACATTCCGGCAGGCAAGCCGAAACAAAAAGCGGTAGCCGTTAGAGAGAATGTATGAGAACCGCTAAAATTGGGCCTGATCTCAGGTTACCTTTAGGTCTAGCTCCTTACCCTTCTATATAATATTTTTTGAGAGGAAAAGTACCCCTCCCTTAACCAGTACCTTCCATTGACAAATGGTACCTCTTTAAAATACCTAGTTTAGAACTTTGCATGTAAATGTACTGTCTTCAAACTGTGAATAAATCACAAAACTGGCCACGAAATTTTCTCGACTTTTTCACAGCCATAAAATCCTTCTGTTGGCCCTTTTAGGTCCTTTTACAGACCGAAATGACACAGATTTCCCTACCCTCTCATATACTTCAACTAGTGAAATCCTAACCCTTTCATACACCTGAAGTCTGGAAAAGGTACCCCTTTCGCAATCAGGGTGAAACTTCCCCTTAAAAGCCATTATAGGGGGGACCCCCCGGGATTTATGGTTGCTCTTCTCGCAATGAGTGAAACAATCAGTCTTCCCTGAAGCAATCAGCATGCTACAAAATTGATTATTTTCTTGCGTTGAATGTCTAGGTTTATATACGATGTACGAGGTTGGTGGCTTGTATTGTTTTCTTTTCTTTTTTTAGACCTGGACGAATGCAAGGATAAAACTCATCAGTGTGACGTAAATGCGAACTGTACCAACATTTCTGGCTCATATAACTGCACGTGCATGCCTGGCTACACAGGAAATGGGAGCATTTGTAATGGTATAATTAACTATACAAGCCTTCACTTCATTTTTCGGCAAGTAGTTTAGTTTTCTTTGTAACTTAATATTTAAATTTCTACTCCCTCCAGAAATTGATGAATGCAAGGATGGAAGTCATGACTGTCACATAAATGCGAGCTGTACCAACATTCCTGGCTCTTACAACTGCACGTGCAGACCTGGCTACCAAGGCAATGGGAGCATTTGTAAAGGTAAAACTTGCTGATAAATGTCATAATAAGACTTAATTTATATTCATTTCTTGTTTTTTTCGTTTCCTTACTCAGACATCGATGAATGCGAAAAGGGAAGCCATGATTGTCACAAAAATGCGAATTGTACAAACACAGCTGGCTCTTACAACTGCACATGTAGGCCTGGGAAAAAGTGCATTAAAACAGATGAGTGTAGTATTAAGCCCAGAAATATAAAATGATCCAAGTGAAAGTTGGAGGGGAATAGGGATTGATGGCTTAGCGCTTGTTTACATGGAGGTGGGGGACCCCAGGTAGGTGAGGAGACCCCCTTAAGTGGGGTAACCCGCCTGTCCATATAATTTCTCATTTTAATTTGATCATATTAACATGATAGGTGGAGTGACCCGCCACATGTTACCTCACCTATCTGGGGCCTCCCACCTTCATGTAAACCGGGCATTAGTTGGTACTGCGCCTTGGGTGCTAAATTGACGTTTAGAGAAGGCAACAACTGCTTTAGGCCCTTTATAGGGTGGATTTCGACTGTCGCGTAATTTTTACGTGCGTATGAGAGGAAAAATTTAAGTACATTCGCAAATGAAAGAGAGGCAATGTATGAAGGATCGCGCATAAAAGTATAAGTTGAACCTCGCCCAACTTCACGTTTAAGTGCAACACGGCTTCGTACCTTGTCTCTATTTTATTCACGCGAGTAAAATTTACGTGTGTTTACACGCGCGTGAAAATTACGCGTCCACCCTTCATGCAGGTGCGAAAAGAAAGGCCTGAAAAAAAATTCAGGCTTGTATCGAATTCAAACTCTTGACCTCTGCGATACCGGTGCAGCGCTCTAAACAACAGAGTAAGCAGGCCAACTGGGAGCTGGTCATTATAAAAATAGATCATTCCCTGGGTTTAAACCTTTCACAAAAATAGGTCATCTCCGAATTATCACTTTCAAGATGAGGCTGAGTGCAAAATCTTTCGTGTGAAAAGACTTTTATTTGCATGAGAATAAAAAATCATTTTCATATCGCACTTAGCCTCGCTTGGAAATAGAGGCTTAGAGCAACTGTTTATTCGTAATATACCCGCAAAAGATTGCAGGCTTTCTACCTGTAGAGCAGTTTTGGATTAGTGACTGCATATATGCGAAAGAGGTGGGGAACCTAAACGCAGAGCTCAAGTTCACTAGGAGGATTCTTGAAGGCAAATGAACCGCAGTATTTAGTAAGAATTGTAGCAAGCATTCATGATAATAAATTTAACTGTTTTCATATACGAGCCTCTCTATTGGCGAGTAACTGCGGACGTCGTTTTCGTCGCCCTTTTCCCATCAAATCGTCAGCTTTTAAACGAAACCGTCGCATATCAATAGTTGTTCTGCATGGTAACGCTACTGAGGAGTTCGAGCGACCACGATGACGGCGAAGGTAACGTGAAAATAAGAAAAAACATACACCAGGTTTGACTGATAAACAAACCTGCAGCGCACTTTTGGCCGAAATTTCTTGCCATTTTTGCACGAGTAACGTTGTCAAACTTTATTGACATGGCAATGCGATCGTACCTATAGTTCCCGTTCAGACGTATCCGGGTATTTTTGAATCCGCAAATTTTTATTTCCGGATTCAAAAATTTCCACGTCCACGTGTATCCGTATTCAAATCGAATTGCCAGTCCACACGTATCCGGATTCACTCTCAGTTCGTCAACTAATTGGCAAAGCGATCTTCGGCTCTTACAAAATTTTTATCACGAATATTCTTCAGTAAATGTTTCAATGAGAAAATTGTCCCATCAAGCGCTATTTCGCTCGTTTAACTTGTTTCCGGCGTCCAATCCGCCCGTCCTACATGGAAAGAAGCTTCAATATGTCAAACAGCAGTTTGGCATAATTGAAGTGTACAATAATCATAGCTAGGTTTAACTACACACACTTTATAAGACTTGAAACTGAAGTGCAAGAAGTAAAGAAGCGATAATATTGCGCTGGGCACGGTCTTGAATATTCAAGGAAAAGAACTGGGCTCGATCTTGTGACGTTACTGTATGGCAAATATCCGAATTTAGCGTCCACACGATTCCGGATTTATAGCATAATCAAAAATTTCCACTCTGAAGAGAGGATTCAAAAAGTTGCGGTTCACCCGATACGCGTGGACGGAAGCGGGATCCGCAAAGAAAAAGTTGCGGATTCAAAAATATCCGGATACGTGTGGACGAGGGCTTAATCTCTAAGATTGTTGTTTCATCAATAGCGGTCGTCGCGACTTCGCCCATAGAGAGTCTCATATACCTTTGGCATGACTATCTGTGCACAGCTTCGCTGAGTGCCACCTGTTGCTGGTTCGATGCTCTTTTCCGCGCGCGCTCATACTAAAGATATGAACCAAAGATTTTTTTTTTAAGGTGGTTTTAATGCATCAACTATTCTTGGCAACGACAGTAGATACTCGGAGAATTTAGCGTTGTTTTTGGAGCCCGTGATCATTAGCTCAGTCCGCAGTAGGTTTGTGAGGTGTTGGCACGCTAAAGAGGACGGCTGGGCGGCGTCTACGTTCCATGGCAACTGTGATGACAAGGGACCCACAGTAACTATCATTCAAGTCGGCAGTTTTATATTTGGTGGATACAGTGACGTAACCTGGAAAAGCCCATCGAGTGAGTACATGTACTAGGAGAATCAGGACTTGTTTATTTTGCTTGCTAACAATGAAGAACGATAAAGTAGTACAGCGGCTTTTGGCTTGATATTTTTCTGTTTACGTACAATCAAGGCGAGAAAGTAATTCCTCAGCGATCAGAATTGGCCATTTTCATGATGACGTCACTTGAATACAACTACCAGAAGTTTGTTTTTCTCTAATTCACAATTTAAATTAAATTATCCCGGTCAGGTTTAAATCTCATAAGAATCGATTTTGAAATACATTTTAAAACAAAAGTCAATGATAAAAAAGAACCTTGTCTTAGTGTCTTCATTTTTAACAATAATATATACTTCCACGAATCATGTTAATTTCATATCTTTTGATAATGATGACATGAAACCATCGAAACGTCAATTTACTTTTTTATCGTTGATTTGAGGTTTAAACCACAACATCAATAAACAAAATCTTGCAAAATTTGGTTTCGCCCTCTCCTTACAAAAACCCATTAAGGGGCCACTCCACAGGAGAGGATGCCTCTGGTCCCAGCCTAATTTTACTGAATTATCTTTAAAGTTCTCTAACTATGTACTGAGGACTCTTTTTAATGAAGCAAAGTGTCGCTTAAGAACTACCCCCCGGGTCACGGTAGTCAGGAGGATAAAAAGGAAAATTTTTCCATTGTAAAAAGCTAATGTTGTAATAACATCCATGAACATTCATGACCAAAATTACCTTTAAAAGCTAAATGAAACACGGAATCAAGTGGTTCAGCCATGCAGAGGTTGAAAAAAAAAATGTATTAGATGCATGTGTGATACCGTCTGTCATTTGTATTTTATGGACTTCAAGTAGGTTTCAGGTTCTGTCATAATTCGATAGATCTGAATTTAGTTACGATTCTAGTTTGCAGAAATCTCTTTTCAGGACAAAAACCCTGCTCTTTTCTACTAACACTGAGGGATTCCAGTTTAGGGAGAGCTCCCTTTCTGCTCATAGTAGTTTGTTACTCCATTAAAACTGCCTAATTTTCTAGAATAATTTTCTCCTCCCCCACTAATTTCAAAGTCACTACAGTGTCATTACTGCACTCAGCAAGACAACAAATGGATGTGTGGCTCATGACACTTTTTTAGGAATATTGAAAAATTTACACAAATAGAGCAAATTTTAAAAATTACAGTAATGCATGAGTTGTCTAGGAATGTTTGTATGTCAAGCCGGACTTGCACTCACTATTTTAAACTGAAGTCCGGATCATTGAATATTCCTAGAAGTTATTTTTTATGAGCGCCTTTAGTAAGGTCAGTAAGAATTGTAAAATGTCGTTATTATCTCCCAGGTCGTTGTTCTTGGGGATATTCAAGTAAAGCCTTTATATACTCATTGACCAATAACAACGGTTCTGGACACGCTGTGTACAATCCCGTTAAGCTGCGAGTCAAGCCTGATAGGTACAAGTATGCTGTAAGAAGGTGTGATTCATTTGGACCAAGATTTGGCAAGGGTGATATTCGCATATCAAACAACTCTGCTAGTAACCAGTATTCTTATACTTATTGTGGCGATCACTACCCCCTCCCCCCAGGATATTCTTTATCTGGTTCTAAGTGTACATTCTATGCTGGAAGCCACAAATTCACGCCAACAGATATCGAAGTATTCTATGAAACAACCACTTAAAGAACTGTATCCTGAGCTTTTGACTTTGTGCTTTTCGTTGTTGTTGTTTGTTTGTTTATGACGATATGACTTTAATGTAACGCAATTTGAGCTCCTCCGCATCCTTCGATCCAGTTTTCCCTCTTCTTTACTTCCCATCATCCCTCGCACCCTTATCCGTCCGCTCCGCTGGGGACCAGGCCTTCTTCTTTCACGTTAGGGTCTCTGTGGGTAGGTAAGACAGGTAACATTAATAGTAGCACCAGCATAGATAACACGCCAATAGAAACAGAGCTGCAGCTTAGTATTATCAGATAACGGTGATAAAAAAACCTCATTGAAGCAATGAGAGAGATAGTGTTTTTTTCATCAGCACTCTGATTCGCCAGCTATAAAATAAAAGGTAAAAGCAATTTTGAAAGGTGTGCCGATACCAAACCAGATTTGCCCGAAGAGTACGTATCGATACCTGAGAATGACACTATATTGATATCGTATCTAACATTCCAGTATCTTTCATATACCTGGGTATTGGTCCGCCTTTCAGTAGACAGTTATCAGGGGCACCCAACGACACTTTCGTCCTAAATACATTAAAAACACGTTTAGGCTATCCAGAGTACCGTTTAGAGGCATTTTAAGTGGCGCTGTAAAATTTGTATCTGTTCGGTCATCCTAGGGAAACTTGAGTCTTTTCGAAATTACACGAAGGGCTTGAGTGTTATTCTCCCGAAAATTTTAGATAAAATTTGACGTATTACGAAAGTGAGACATTTGCTAATTGCTCTCTTCATCACATTTTTGAATCCGAAAATTTTAGGTTTCCTTTTTTCTACGAAAAATAGCCTAACTTGGGAAGCAAAATGTAAAACTTGAACTTCCTGAAATCGTAGGGAATTAATGAGATAAGCTTCGAAAATTGTACATGAATGGAACAGTCATTTAGAAATTTTTAGCCGTCATCAAGAAATAGAAAATTCTTGTCAATATTTGCTTCTCCGAACAGATATTTTGCATAAAACAGTCATTAAGTGCCCCTGAGTTATATCACTCGCAAATATATGAGGGATTTTAAAAATGTCAGCATTTTTTATTCAGTTCTCTCTTGTATCTGTTATGTTATCACGGCGGGTACAAAGAACTCAAAAAGCTCTAAGGACAGAGGGAACACATCAGAAACTTACAGTGATTTCTGACACGTGCAACCAGTGCAAAGTGGGAAAGCGTGCACTCGCCACTCTATGATTGATTTCAGGGGCGGATCCAGAAAATTTTAATAACGGGGATCCAACTTGTGAAGCCAATACACACTGGTGAAAACGTCCAATAACTCGCGTCTATTTGGGCCCGCTCAATAAGTCAAATGCAGGCGACTTTTCTGGGGTTTAGTAGGATTTTACCATTCCAAACCGTTCGTCACATTCCTTTCTAAAACGACAAATTAGGAGGAAGAACCAAAGAAATTGCTGTCATGATGTTGTTTTGATCATTAAATATTGTTAATGGCGCAGTGACCAGCTTTGAAGTACATCATTTGTCTTTCTTGAGTTAACGTGATGATGAAAATACTTTTGTCCAGATTTCGTCGATTTTTTTAAGTCCCCCTTCCTCTGGATCCGCCACTGGGTTTATTTTGATTTTCCTAGAGGCAAACAAACCTTACCTGAACCCTTTAAGTCCCAATAGTGACCAACATCAATTTTCTCCCAATGATATTCCTACATTGTTCAAAAGAGACTAGGTTGTTAAACGTTTTTAATTTAAAATAATCAGGCATCCCTAACAGAAAATGTTCTTTGAATCTTTTGTCGAAAATTCTCTTAACTCATTCTTTAAGGAAATATATAGAGATCAGTTTGGAGACCTTTTTTAAAAATGTGGATATTTACCATTCTTTTAATGTTCGAAAATCCGAGTTAAGCAAGGTTCTTGAACACCATAAAAAACGTTGGGGAAACCATCAATGGCCCCGCGAAACATCGGCTGTTTTCTCAGCTTTATAGTAAAATACCTGTCCAGCTTTACGGCATGTTAGTTGACTAATTATAGTCATTAGTTTAATTCTCGTTTGTTACCCGATGGTTTTTACAAGAAAAGTAAATTTCGTTAGTCGGCATTTTTAATGTCACATCGTGTTTAACTGAAATATGAAAATTCAGGTCATATTTAACTTGACTTGAGAACACGGTGTTCGAACAAGGGAAAACCAGGGATAGAAAAAGTAACTGTAAACAGCTTCATTGTAAATCACTTCTAGTGTTAGGACCCTTTTAAGTCTAAAAAGTTTATAAGTCTCAAGGCTTAACGAGGCAGCGTGGATAGATTTACAGGACGTTAGAGACTGTACAGCATGCTTTATTCCACTGGCGTTTTGTTCTGCAGCTCGCTTATTTAAGAGAAAAATCCTAGGAACTTCTGCCAACGAAAAGGTGAGGGAAATTTGTGCGTTTGATATAGAAATTATTGGTAAAGAGCAGGACCAAAGCTCATGAACCGGTCCTGTGTTAATTCCTGGCTAAACTAATTACATTCCTGGTCAGTCCTCGGCGTCCTGGTGCTAAGCCACGCTTACTCCTGTTTTATAGAAACCTTTTTAAGAATATCCTAAGAGCAGAGCAAAGCCAAGGCTGAAGTTCAGTCTAAAACATTGTCGATTCCACCAATTTCAACGTGACGAATATAGAAAAATTGCTATAAAGACTGCTGTACATGTTTGGCTGAACATTGTGTGCACTGTTGCCTCTCCTGAGGTCACTATTGGCCTCTCAAAACAAGCGGTGAATTAAAAGTCGTCCATACAATGTTTACAAAATGTAATTTAAAAACATCTAAGAACGTTTTGCGGCTCAAATCGCCTCAAAAATAAGCAAGTTTAGTCTTGGCTCAGTCTCAGCTCAAAATTAGGCGTTCTTACATGGAGGGTCCGTATTGAATCTCGTCATCTTGACCCAAATATAAAAAAGGTGCACCGTATTTATTCGATTAACCGCCTTGAGCGTTTATTAAATTTTTGGACCTTGAGAGTGGGCGTTTATTGAATTTTCACCACTTTCAGCAACTGTATTAATGTTTATTTTGCAACAAAACAACATCAAAGCAAGGTTTCTGTAAACTACTCTGAAGACAACTCCGTCTTTAAGGAAGTCAGTAAGTGAATTCTCTGGTGCTGCCCCCTGGATGTCCGATATCGTAAAGCCGGCAGATGGGTTAGGTGCCCGAGAAGCAGATACAGCTTGCTGGATGGATGTTAGGTGCTGGGCGCTTATTCGAGGTTGGGCGCTTAATAACTTTTTCTGCCTTTAGGATGGGCGCTTATTCGAGGCGCCGCTAATCGAGGTTGGGCGCTTATTCGAATAAATACGGTATGTAAATAGTAAACAAGTAAGCCTCACAGCCGGTTGTGATGTACAACCAGCAGTACGATAAATTTTGTTTCCATTTTATAGTTGGAATTTGCAGTGTCTTTTGCTTCAGCTTTCAGGCTCAGTTCCTGTCTGAGAAAAATTAGAATGGAAAAAAGCAAAGAACAAAATGGAATCTTGCTCCCCCACTGAGCCTAAGAGTTGAAGCTTCGACACTTTAAAACTTGTTCATTACTATACAATATTTCTTAGCTACGTATATTGCATAATATAATAGGAAATTGTGTAGGCATTTTAATAAAGATAATTCAAGGTTTGTAGTTCGCAAAAGGCCATTTAATTTCTGAGTTATTGGGCGTCTGTATAAAATGAGGTTAAGTGCTCAGCCTTTAATGTGAAAATGATTTATGCAAGTAACACTCATTTTCACAAGAAAACTTGTGCACTTGGCCTCATTTTGAAAGTGAAGGCTTTTGGAACTCGGAAGTGGCCTATTACTGTATGTTTTGCAAGAGTCGGTACACACGCAAATGTCCACCAGGTGGAGAGTTTAATAAGGGTTTTCAGCCATGCGGGGAGACATGAACATTCCTTCATTTCGGCAACAGGCATTAAATCACGCACGGACCTAGCACAGACTGCTGGAAAGGATCGAGGAAATCGAGACCAGGTGGACTCGCGCGTGTGTGCATCAACACTTTTGTGAACGGCTTATATAAACAGTGTTATGCCTTTTTATTTTATACCAAATGACTAAGAAAATGCATTCAGGCGATGCCCTGCACAAATCCAAAGCGGCCCTTTGGTTGGTTATCGAGTTCAAAGAAGTGTTTTTTCCTCATAAAACGGGCATGAAAATGTGCATCTCTGTGATTCGTTGGTTCAGTTTAAAATGATAATGTGGTTGAATGAATTTATGGTTTCAACACAATCTGTGGTACTGCATCGGTGAGAGAGACCAACTCACAAAAAAAGAGTTTCATCCATTGAGTTTATAAAATCAAGTCACCACCGAAAAGACACTTTAAAAGCTGATGTTTGGAGCAGGGACCATAATGGTATATCCGCCCAGATTTCGGGCACTTGCCCTCCGCTCCAAGGAAGGACAAACATTCGAAACAGAAGTGCTCATTGCAGACCAGTCACAGAGCTGCTTTAGAATAGTGCAGGTCAACTGTTATAAATTATGCTTGTTAATTAGGTAACAAAAGGTACTTATGATTAGCTTGCTGCTGCTTTAAACCAGCCTAAGTATAAAGTAACTTTCGGTTGTAGCTTTTGTTCATTATTGTAGGTTCTTTGCCGTCAGTTGTTTAACCAACTGACTTTGAAACTTTAAAATTAAACTGAGTTCTGTGCATGGTAGTCAACCCAAGTTGTCTAGTGTTGTGGAATCCAGTGTAAGGCAAGACCTTTTCCTTGGTTGCTATCGTCAAGATTTTGATTGCAACAACAATCTCAATGGTCACTTGAAGAAAGCAGCCAAAATTTGGTGACGCCAACACTAGTTTCTCCGCAAAATGACGTTTGAAAATGACTGCAGAAATTTCATACTGGCGACGTCATGTGTCACTACCCAGATCTGAGTAGTGCTTCTGACTGCAATTTTCCCTTCACTTATGACCAATCAGAAGCACTACCCAGGCACCTCAACAGTAT